TTAATGGTCTGACTGAGACTGGAGGAACCCCTGAAAGCATGGCCCCTGGATTCTCTATCAGCCCAGAACTAAAACAATTTCTGAGGCCAACTCTTTAGACAGGGATTGGACTGGACTATGGGACATAAAGTGATACTCGTGAGGAGTGTGCCTCTTAGCTCAAGTAGATACAAGAGATCAAAGGGGCAGCTTCTGTCCAGAGGTAAGATGGGAAGGCAGAGAGAGTTAGGAGCTGGCTGAATGTTCATGGGGAATCAGGGGCAGAGCGGAGGAGTGTGCTGTCGCAGAATGGGGTGAGCGGTTGAGGTCTCAGAACAATGTATGTAAAAAAAAAAGAAAAAAAAGTCCACCAGCAGGAAAACAGGTACAAATACTGTAGACTGATTATATCATAGAATATTATGTGGCAATGGAAATAAACTATTGTTATAAGTAACAGCATAGAATGATCTGTTAAATACAATGTTTAGTAAACAAAACAAATAAAAAAACATGCAAATGAAAAAAAAAATACATATACATATACATCCATGTTATGGATTGAATTATGTCCCTCAAAAAGTATCTGTCAACTTGGCTGGGTCATGATTCCCAGTATTGCATGATTGTGTACCATTTTGTAATCTGATGTGATTTCCTTATGTGTTGTAAACTCTATCACCGTGATGTAATAAGATGGATTAGCAGCAGCTATACTGATGAGGTCTACAAGATTAGGTAGTCTTAAGCCAATCTCTTTTGAGATATAAAAGAGAGAAGTGAGCAGAGAGACATGGGAGCCTCATACCACCAAGAAAGCAGTATCGAGAGCAGAGCGCGTCCCTTGGACCTGAGGTTCCTGTACAGAGAAGCTCCCAGACCAAGGGAAGATTGATGACAAGGAACTTCCCCCAGAGCCAACGGAGAGAGAAAGCTTTCCCCTGGAGCTGACGCCCTGAATTCAGACTTCTAACCTCCTAGACTGTGAGAGACTAAATGTCTCTTTGTTAAAGCCATCCACTTGTGGTATTTCTGTTACAGCAGCACTAGATGACTAAGACAATAAATAAGAATGATTAAAAACAAAATAACTCATTAAAAATATTTTGTTCTTTGGGCTTAGAAACAATGACACCTGGGTAGCCATGCACACGCCTATGGCCAAATCCTGGTTCTTAAAAACCATTCTCCAATGACAGGAACCAGGGAGAAATGGGTGACTCTAAGACTGAGTCAGGGAAGAGACAAGATGAGCCTAGAACATCTTGTGGTGGCAGAAAAAGTAAGCAAGCATTCAAAAAATGATGGAAGCATTTTGATAGGCTATAGGAACTACTCTGAAGGAGCTCTAATGGTCAAAGTTGAGACAATTTGCGAAAATAAATAATGACAACACTGGGTTATAATCCACCGACTGAAATAAATATCAAGGAGTCCATATTGACATCAATAACTGAAAATAAGTAAATAGGACAGCTCTTCCTTACAACAGAATTCCAAATAATAAACGTAGAAGGAATGATGGGAATAGAAAACCACCACTGAGCAAATGCTACGGAATTACTGCGGCAGGCAAGAACCATCAATGGATGATAAAGTCAGTGAGAGAAAGTATAAACAGGATCTTTGCATAGTCTCAAAGTTATCTCCCCACAAAATAAATATTAATTACAAAGGGAAAAATAAAACAGATTTACAAAGGAGAAAACCTGGCAGGTTAACTATAGGAGAACTTTAGAAAAATCAAAATTGAGGGACATTCTACAAAATATCTGACCAGTACTCTTCAGAAGTGTCAAGATCATAAAAGACAAAGAAAGACTGAGGAACTACAGCAGACTGGAGACTAAGGAGACACGATAACTAAATGCAACGTGGGATCCTGGATTGGATTCTGCACCAGAAAAAGAGCATTAGGGGCAAAGCTGGCAACAGTCAAATAACATCTGTATATTAGTTAACAGATTGTATTAACGAAAATTTCCTGGTTTCAATAATTGTACTATGATTATGTAAGACGTTAACATTAGGAAGAACTAGGTGAAGGGTATACAGGAACTCTCCATACTATACTTGCAAGTTTTCTATAATCTAAAATTACTTCAGCGTCCCTGGGTGGTGTAAACAGTAAAGGAACTTGGCTGCTAACCGAATGCTTGGAGGTTCAAGTCCACCCAGCAGTGCCTTGAAAGAAAGTCCTGGTGATCTACTACCGAAAAATCAGCCACTGAAAAGCCTGGGAGCACAGTTCTACAATGACACACATAGGGTTGCCATGAGTGGGAACTGACTCGACAGCAACTGGTTAACTGGTTAAAATTCAAAATTAAAAGTTAAAAAATTTTTTTTTATGCTTTGCCTACTTTATTGCTTATATGATCAACAACACAATCATAAAACTATTAACTGGATTATAAAAACAAATGTCATAAGAGTCCAAACAAAATAAAATGTGTTAAAAACACAGACAGTAAAGCAAAGGTATGAACTCAACATTAACATATCTAAGAAATTCTGATGTCTTTAAAAGATATTGACTATAAATACCACCTAGTGGTCACATTTAAAACACCAAATTTCATTATCTAGGAGGCAGCTCAATTACTGCTCTTATTGAATCAGCACCTTCTCCAAATGTTGGTGATGTTGGCATGTCTGGATTTCACCCCTCTGATCTAACCAGTTTCCCCACAGAGAGCAAAGGAAGGCATAGTTTCCAAGCCCTTTATTTACCTTATCTGCCAATCAGAAAGGATCTGTTCCCAGTATGAAGGTACAGGGAGTCGTTGAGCACTTAATGTTGGTTGGGAAGTTTCTCACTCTCATGAGTAAGGTCTTTAAACGTTTTAACTTTCTAACATTACTTTGTTAGAAAAGAATTTCCAAAATAGAATTTTATGTTCAAATTTAAGTATGAAAGCATATTTCAAGGCCATGTAATAAATTTTCACTTACAGTAAACTTGCTTTATCCATAACTGACACTTTATTTCAAAAACAGACTTGATATCTATCACAAAGGCAGAACTCTGTTAATTTTCATTTAAATAAACAATAGAATGCCCTATTATACAGAGACAAAAAAAATTCATATTTAAAAAGTGGTCATATAGAATCTACAAAAGATTATAAGGACAGGAACGGAGGTTTAAATCAAAATAATTTTTAAAAAATCATATACATAAACATTATATAATTTTACTAGAGCTTAAAAATGAAATGCTAAAGTACGGAAGTACCAAGTTACCTTAGAGAAATATTCCTTTAAATATCAATGGCAGAGACTCAAAAAACTTTCAATAGGTGATTTTTGGTAGAACATTCACTGGTTAAACCAACATACTTTTAGGTAACAATAAAATCAATACTTTGATAAAAAGTTACCTTCTTCAAGCTTTTTTTTCAGTTCTTCTATTTCTTTCTGAAACTGACGAAGCAAAGCATCCTTTGGATCTTCATTAATTCTAGCTTTATTTTTAATATTTTTAGCACGGTTGGCATAGCGCAATGTACTGATAGTTTCGTCATAATTGTAATCTGCTGGCCCAATATTTGCACACTGTCGAATTAGGAATACAAAGTAAAACATTTTATATCTGACGCAGCTAAAATCAATACCACCATTACAAATCTATCTAAAAGAGAATTTTCGAAGCACACGTACACTCTGGCCTTCTTTAAAAAAAAAGTCAAACATATGGGTTTCCAAATTAAACACCATTATGGAGCCAGTACACATGGAATGCTAGAGAAAGAATAACCACAAATTTTACAAAGTAAAATAGTCAGTAGTTTAAAAAATATTACACATATAATTTTTGGCATAAATTGGAATCTTAAATCTGCCTTATGTTAATCATACCACCAACTAAATCTTACCATCATGGTTTTTGAATTTCCTCCTAAGGAATCCTGAAGAAGACGAGTCAACTTAGAGTTACGATAAGGCACATGAGTGCTTTTTCCATCAACCAAAGCAGAAATCACATTACCAAGGGTGGAAAGTGAAAGATTGATTTTTGTAGCTTCCTTTAGGCGTTGTCCAGTAGCTCCAGTTTTTGCTTGTCTTTCTGAACCCTAATAACAAAGAGAGAAATGAAGCTAAAATACAAAAATGCATAATATTCTTACCAAGTTTTTAAAAAAAAAACGTAATTTTTTAAAGTAAAAAATCTGATATGATGCCTGGAGTTCGCTTCAAAATATTACAGGAGAGAAAGGAGTGGCTGACAGTAAAGAAATGAAACAAGATGGGCCATGAGCTGATAATTGCTGAAACTGGGCAATGGGTGTGGGTACACTGGAGATAATACTTATTCTACCTACTTTTGTATATGCTTGAAATTTTCCATAATAAATAGTAAGTTAAAAACACACACAAGTTAACATGTTTAGTACTTCTGTTCCACCTCTTAGTTCACTGCATAGTGCCTGGGGTCTTAAAAGCTTGCCAGCAACCATCCAAGGCACAACACTTGGTCTCTATTTACCTGGAGCAACAGAGGAAGAAGGAGAGTCAGGAACAGGAGGAGGAAATCGAAGGTGTGGCTAATTGCCTCCATGAACAACTGCCTCCTCTGCCATGAGACCAGAACTGGATAGTGCCTGGCTACCATTACTGAACATTTTGATCAAAGATTCTATAGAAGAATCCTGATCATGAAGGGGAAAATGCAGAATAGAATTTCAAATTCTCACAGAATGAAGACTTTCTGGAGCCATGGAGGCTGGATAAATCCCTGAAACTACTGTCCTGAGATAATCTTTAATAAACCTTAAACCAAAAATATCCCCTGAAGTCTTCTTAAAACCAAACAATAGTTTAGCTTAACTAGTAAAGAATGTCTGCCTTAAGCATTATGCTTTTTTAAGATCTATCTACATGGGATCAAACTGACAACAGCAACTCAGAAGATCAGATGGGAACCTTAGGAGGCAGTGAGTTTATGTTAACAGGGGAGGAACAATTCAGAAAAGGAGGGTGAGAATGGTTGCACAACTAGAAGAATGTAATCAGTGTTACTGAACTGTGCATGTAAAAACTGCCAGTGCCTGTTTTACTGCGTATATTCTTAACAACAACAAAACAAACTGAAAAAAAAACACACACATACACAAGTGAACAGCTTGAAAATCTTTTCACTTTTTCATTTATTTATAAAATAAAAAAGAAATCAGCAACAGATGAATGGATAAACAAATTATGGTACATACACACAATGGAATTCCGTGCAATGATAAAGAACAGATGAATCTGCAAAATATCTCACAACATGGATGAATCTTGAGGGCATTATACTGAGTGAAATAAGTCAGTCGCAAAAGGACAAATACTGTATGAGATCACTATTACAAGAACTCAAGAAAAGGTTTATACACAGAAAAAAGCATTCTTTGATGTTTATGAGGGTGGGGAAGGAGGGAGAGGGGAAATCACTAACTAGATAGTAGACAAGTGTCAACTTCAGTGAAGGGAAGGACAACATACAATATAGGGGAAGACAGCATAAGTGGACCAAAGCAAAATCACAGAAGTTTCCTAGACACATCCAAACACTTTGAAGAATCAAATGGCTGTGGCCTAGGGACTGTAGTCTCGGGGGACATATAGGTCAACTGGCATAACATAGTCTATAAAGAAAATGTTCTACATCCCACTTTGGTGAGTAGCATCTGGGGTCTTAAAAGTTTGCGAGTGGCCATCTAAGATACATCTATTGATCCCATTCCACTCAGAGCAAAGGAGAATGAAGAAAACCAAAGACACAAGGAAAATACCAGCCCAAAGGACTAAAAGGACCACATGAACCAGAGCTTCCACCAGCCTGAGACCAGAAGAACTAGATGGTGCCAGGCTACCACCAATGACCGCCCTGACAGGCAACGCAACAGAGTCCCAGACAGAGCAAGAGAAAAATGTAGAACAGAATTCAAATTCACATAAAAGACAAGATTAATGGTCTGACAGAGACTGGAGGAACCCCTGAAACTATGGCCCCCAGATGCTCTGTTAAGCCAGAACCGAAACCATTCTTGAAGTCCACTTTTCAGACAAAGATTAGACAGGCCTACAAAACAAAAAATAATACACGTGACGAACATGCTCTTAGTTCAATCAAATATAGGAGACCAAATGGGCAGCTCCTGTCCAAAAACAGGACAAGAAGGCAAGAAGGGACGGAAACTGGATGAATGGACACAGGGAACCTGAGGTGGAAAGGGGGAGCATGCTATCACATTGTGGGTAATGCAACCAATGTCACCAAACAGTATTGTATAAATTTTTGAATGAGAAATTAACTTCAGCTGTAACCTTTCACCTAAAGCACAATAAAGAAAAAAGAAATCAGAAGAATTATTCCTTAAGTAGTATCCTGTTACTTACAGCAAGATCAACAAGATGGAGTTTTCCCATCCTGACATGCATGTTACCATCAACGCCTTTTTCACTGCATTCTATAGTAATTGTAAAGATGGCATGTGAACGGGAACTATGTTCATTCATATTAGTTGCACCAACAGAACCTTTAATAAAGGAAGACAATCCTTAAAAAGTGTAACAGAGTGTCTTGAAAAATAATTGAATATCCAGAACAATTTAAAATACATAATTTCATCACAACCGAATCCAGTGAGCATGACTAAACCATAAAAGTATAGCTGAATTTAGCCATTATTAGAAATGTCTCCAACAATTTATGTTGATAACAATGTGCAATACTTCTCATGTTAAAGAAATAATTTTAGCACAAAATACTTATTTTTAATCGCATGTATTACTAGCTCAAAAAATAATTTATACACACACACACATACACACAAACTCATGTCAATTAAGAAAAATTACTGCTAATTCAGTTGTCTTTAAATAGCATTATGTTCTGGGAATCTAAATCACAGAAATACTTGCACATATGCATTAGGTCATACAAGGATATTCAGAGCAGCATTGTTTGCAACAGTTAAAGACCAGAAACAATCAATAGATACTCAGTTACAGAACAGACATACTATGGATTACTAAGCATTCATTTAAAAGAATAAAGTAGATCTATATCTAATGACATAGAAAGATGGCCATGACATGTGAAAGGAAAAAAAAAAGAAAGTTAAGAGGAATATATAATATGATCCCATTTTGTAAAACAAAAAAAGCCATATAAAATATACAAAGTATTTGTGAATGTATACTTTACATGAATATATCTGAGTAAACAAAGAAAAAGGTCTGTTTTGTTTTATAAAAGGCATGTACTAGTTTTTTCCTTCAATTCCAAAATATTTTAAAAGCATTATGTTAATTTTACTCAGTTTCAAAATTATCTATCTTATTTTATATATTCATACAGAACCTTCTCATGCAAGCCTTGGTTATAGAATTTAAAACGTTTAGAATTTAAATATTAAAAAGGTGTTCTTTATCAGCATATAGTCATATTTGAGGTCAGATAACTTGAATAACTGTACTGATAAAGAAAAGTAAAGCTCAGTGGATGAAGGTAAGTGAAACAAAACAAGAATTTGTGACTCTATATTATATTTCTCAATTTTCTTTTCAACTAAATTATGAATGTATAATTTTTTCCAAAAATATAAATTTGGCACCACTACAAATCATCTGATGGTTAGTAATACAGATACATGCTATTCCACAGAATGTCAGATCTTATTTTATCTTCTGCTTTTTCCACTTACCATTATTTCCTACGTACATTTCCACATAAAAACAACCTGAAAATTTACTATAATTGATTTTGCTATTCTCCTACTGTGAGGCATTTGAGATTGTTTCCCATTTTAGGCCCTCATAAGGCACATCTTTGCACAGGTATCTTTCTTTCTCTTTAGGGTATTTCCATGGGATGTATTTTCCAAATTGGAATTACCAGGTCAAAGAGCAGGAATAGTTTTATAGCTTTGTGACTATCAATCACTGTTTTTCAATTTGGGGTGGGAGGGAACAGATATTTGAAAAAAGCATATTAAATATTTTAATACTGTAATATAATACAATGATTTAATACAAGTAAACCATGCTATTTCTGATTCTGGTTTTTCTCTATTTCTGGTTATGAAAACAAAGCAATGTAACATACAAGCTGTTAAAAGTGACCTATATTGAACTTTACAATCCCTAGGAGAGAATAAAACACCCCTGGGGGAGCAACGGTTAAGAGTTTGGCTGCTAACCAAAGGTTGGCGGTTTCAACCCACTAGTGGCTCCGTGGGAGAAAACACCTGGCGATCTGCCCTTGTAAAGATTATAGCCTGAGAAACCCAATGGAGCAGTTCTACTCTGTCATACAGGGTCACTATAAGCTGGAATCGACTTGATGGGCACACAACAACAAGGAAAGAATAGCCTGTGGCAATCAAGTACAGGTACTCCCCGACTTACGAGGTAGTCGAGGTATGACGAACAGCACTTACAACCGCTTGCCCTTTTGTTTTTTTTGGGTACTTCTTACCCTTAGTAATATGTACTACATACAATGTTGCAGCGCCACTTTCAAGGCATACTATCTACAGACTACATTTGCTCAGGCAGTAACTGTAACAGATGGAGGTATGGCAACATTATGTGATTTCTGGAAGAATTATAGTATTCTTCAGTATATCCGGAACACTGCATCTTCCTGGGAGGAAGTTATGGGAAAATGCATGCAGGGAATTTTGAAAAAATTGCTGAGTTATGCGAACACACTCCACACATCTGATTAGGATAATATGATGAAAAAGATGGGTGGAAAAATTGTCCATATGGTAAGAACACTGAAATTAGAACTTGATATTGCTAATGTGGAACAGCTCATAGATCACGAAGAAGTGGAATTGACAGCTCAGGACTTATGGATTTTGAAGAGGAAAGAAATGCTGAAGAAAGAAATAATGAGGAAGGATGGAGAGTTGTCAAAAAATTTTACAGTGAAAGGATTAGCTCAAGTTTTTTCTAAACTGTATCAGGGGATTCAGTTGCTTGAAAACACGGACCCAAATGCTGATTGCTTTGCCAAAGTAGATAAGCAGATTCAGGAAGCATTGAGATTTTACTTCAAAACATATGAAGAAAAAAAGAAAAAGACCATACAGACAACTGTCACTAATTTTCTGACTAGAAACACTATCCCCATTCCCAGGGATAATCCAGATGATCCACAACCTTCCACAAGTGGAATTATTATCGCAACTGACAAAAAGCCAATTCTTCAATGGTCAGAGTAAATTTTTATGATTTGTTATTTTTTTATATACGCATACATTAAAATACATCTGTAAGTTTACATGTAATGTTTCCAACCCCCAAAGACAAATAAAGATTGGATTTATAAAGATACTGATAATAAAAGGTAATAATAATGAAAACTAAAAAAAAAAAAGAGGTATTCGACTTACATCAGAACCAACTTACGACCGAGTCGTCAGAAAGGAACCCCGTCGTAAGTTGGAGACTACCTGCAGACTCAATGCTTCAACCTACTGACACATCACATAATGGAAATAAAAACAAAACACACTTTCAATTAAAACAAAAAAATTGTTTTCTTCTAAAATACACTGTTTTTCTGTCAAAAGATGCATTTTGAAATAAGGAAAAATAAGTGTTTATGCTTTTCAAGAGGGGCGTGGAAAAATTTACCCTATAAAAGTGCTTGCGTATGTATAAATTCATGTACATACGAGAATATTTATTGCAGTATTGTTCATAATAGCAAGATTGACAACCCAAAAGTTCATCAATAAAAGATTAGGTAAATAAATTCATCTAACAACAACAACAAAATTCACCTAACAAAATGCTAGTCATTAAAAAATGACTATATATAGGCTAACGTGTTAATGTGAAATGATCTCCAAGATAATAGTAAGTGAATAAAGCATAGCATGCTACTATCTAAGGAGCCCTGGTGGCACAATGGTTAAGTGTCTAGCTGCTAACCAAAAGGTCAGAGGTTAGAACCCATCAGCGGCATCTCAGGAGAAAAGACCTGGCGATCTGCTCCTGTAAGTAAAGAGTACAGCCTAGGAAACCCTATGGCGCAGTTCTACTCTGTCCTACAGAGTCACTATGAGTCAGAATTGACTTGACGGAACAGCACTCTCTCTTTAAACACACACACTCTATCAGGATGGGCACATGAGAAACTATTAGAGGTTGCCACTGGGGATGGGAACTAGATGACTGAGAGACAAGGGTAGGAGAGAGACTTGTTTTTCAACATATACTTTTTGCCTTTGGAATTTTATACCATATGTATGAATTACCTATTCAAAAAGACAGTTTATAAAGAAAAGGATTATCGCTTAAAGTCTGAAAAAATACTGCTCTGCAGAAATATTAAACAATTTACAATGATGCCCACAATGTAAACATACCTTACTAGTTTAAATTTGCATTTAGTTGTAGGCAGACTGTGACATGACTAATATTCTTAAGTGTAAAATTAATTCTTTCTATACTCTGACCACCTATACAAAATGGGTACTCATATTTGTATCAGTTCTACAACTATTTAGGGTAAAAGCCTGTATGGTCATACTTTCCCCTTCTCTGCTATTTTCCTATTGATATTTATTATATTAATTTACATATGATAAAGTTTGTATTTTTATTATTCAATTCTTCTCCTTGGAGATTTATAGTAAATGCTTAATTCCTGGGCTCGATCTATTTATTAATTAAGAGGATTTTCATCTTTGGTAGGTCTTCTAATCATTTATCTCTCTCATTAGAATTTTTTCGATTTCCTTGAACAAATCTCACATACCAAATTAAATGAATTCTCAAGCAGTTAATGGGAGGTTTTCATCACTACTGTGAATGGAATCTTCCTTTACGATTGTCTTAATTATATTATAAACATGTGAACATATTCCTGGTATAACAAAACTTCAAAAATTTAGATACACAGAAAGCAGTAAGTGAAAGCTCCCTACACCCTTTTTCCCCAATCTTACTCCCCTAAAGGTAACCACTATTACCTCTGTCCTTTCATTTTGTATTTTACATATACACACGGGCGACTACACACACACACACACACACACACACACACACGCCCAAATACATGTTTAACAATTTGTTTGGGTTTTTAAAACACATATATATATAAACGGGATCGTACAGTATACAGTATTCTGTAATTTGCTTTCTTATTTTTATTTAATGGTATAACTTAAAAATCTCCCAGGACTCTACATGTAGACTTAACTCATTATTTTTAACATTTTCATTATAATTCATAGTATGTCTGTACCAGAATATAAATATAACTAGTCTTCTATTCATAGTTAGACTATTTCTAATCTTTTGCTATTACAAATAATGCTGTAATAAGGTATATATTTTTCACCTAAAAATATTTTTCTAAAATAGATATTATCACACATTGAATTATGTCTCCCCAAAATGTGTTGAGATCCCTAACCTTTGTACCTATAAATATGGTCTTGTTGAGAAATAAGGGTTTGCTTTGCATCATAAAAAGAGCAGAATAGACACAGAGCCACAGAGGGAAGACACACGCCAAAAAATACCAAGGAATGCCAAGGAATGCTAGCAGACACCAAAAACTAGGAGAAATGCTCACAGAAAGAATCAACATGGCTGAAACCCTGATTTAGACTTTTAGCCTACAGAACGCTAAGAAACAAATTTCTGTTCTTCAGAGCCACCCCTTTTGTGGTATTTTTTGTTATGGCAGCGCGAGGTAACTAAAACATCTAGGTATCTAGAATTACAAACCCTGGTTCAAAAGGAATGTACTTCTAAAATTTCAACAGACACTGCTACATTGCGCTTCAAAAAAGCTATACCAATTTACATTCCCATCACTAATGCCCCATTTCTTCAAAGCCTCACCAACCTGGATATCCTTCCATCCAATCTGTTGGGTGAAATCTCTCTCACTCTTGTTTTAATTTGCATTTTCCAGACCACTTACGAAGTTGAACATTCTTTCATACGTTTACTGGCTATGCACAGTTCTTCTATGAATAACATATTTATGCATATCTTTTGCTCATTTTTCTTTACAGTTTGGTCTTATTAGTCTTTTCTTAGTTTATAGGAATCCAATTGATTTTTTAACTTTTTGTTTAATTTCCTTGGTTTTGCTAGATCTTTAGTTGTCATAAAAACTTGTAAAAATTTCTTTATTGCCTATGTTTTTATCTTTTACTTCTAATCTGCAATTCGCAGCACCAGTATTAGGCTGGAGCATTTACTTATGTCTTAAATATTGCTTCTTATTTAATCTGAAGCTTTTAATTCTTTAGACAAAATCTTGGAACAGTTACTAAAAAGAATGACACTTCATTTAATTTTGCTTTGCTTTTCTTGTCAACAAAAGGAACTTAGTGCTTTCACAGCCTATTGTGAAAATTGAAAGATCTTCCTAACAAAGTACTTAACACAAATGCTTGCCACACTGTTGTTGTTCTTGTTAGTTGTTGTGGAGTCTATTCTCCATGTGTGAGACTGGGGACCCCATGTGTGCAGAGTAGACTGCTCCATAGGGTTTTCAAGGCTGTGCCCTTTCAGAACTAGATCGTCAGGTCTGTCTTCTGAGGTGCCTCTGGGTGGATTCGAATCGCCAACCTTTTGACTAGCAGCCAAGCGCTTAACCGCTTGCGCCACCCAGGGACTCCTTGCCACAGAGTAAGTACTCAAAAAATATTACAAATTGTTATAGTAAACAAGAGACAAGCTATATGAGAGATTCAAAAGAACATCACTATTAACAGGAGATAAAATCTTGGCCAGCACAGAAAACAGTATGTGATTTTCTTCATTCATATATGGCCTCTCTATAGCAAACAACCGAAGAGGGAAGGTTTTCAAGAAACCTAACAATACAGTCTCTATGTGGCAAACTGTCAAACCAGTTTTGTTTCTAAACCAGACTACTCAACACATAGATGTTTAATCACAATTACTCACGACACTTACGATTTTTGTGGCCTAGTGTCATAATTCTATCCATATCATCAGCATTATTTACCACATAAGCTGATAAATCTTTGATATAAACTCCCACATCAGGTCTTTCTTTAACCTAAAAAAAAAAAGAACATACGACTTACACTTACATCAATAATTCTTTAACAATTATTTATTGAGTATCTACTTGTTAATGATATAATGTGTCAATTACAAATTCTGCGATTATCTGATATTTATGCATATATTCTCACATTTTTCTATTCTAAAATGCACAGTGAAAGTGGTCTTTGGAGTGTTAATCTCCTACCTAACTGTACAAACTGGAATTTCTCAATTAGGAACTTTGGCTTCTTCCTTCAGATTAAAGAAAGATTGAGAACACTAGTATTCATGACTACATCAGACACTAGCTCTAACAGCTATATTTCCGGCACTTTAAAAATTTCTGACTTAAATTCTAGGGTACTCTTACATCAGAAATGGAAATTTATGTTCACATAAACACCTGTACATAAATGTTCATAGTTGCTTTATTTGTAGTAGCCAAAAACTACAAACAACCCAGATGTCCTTGAACAGGTGAATGGTTAAACTATGGTACATACATATATACCATGGAATACTACTCAGCAATAAAAAAGAACGAACCATTGATACATGCAACAACTTGCCATGAATCATCAGGGAATTAAGCTGAGTTAAAAAAGCTACGGTAATCCTAAAAGATTACATACTGTAGGATTCCATTTATATAACATTTTTTAAATGGCAAAATATAGAAACGGAAAACAGATTAGGTGTTGCCTGAGGTTAGGAACAGGAGTAGGTGGGAGAGGAAGGGGGTGGTCAGAAGAGAGGTAGATATGGTTATAAAAGGGCAACATGAGGATCTTAGGGGGCAGTGAGTTTATGTTAATGAGGGAGGAACAATTCAGAACAAGAGGGTAAGAATATTTGCTACAACTAAAGAATGTAATCAATGTCACTAAATCGTACATGTAGAAACTGTTGAACTGGTATATGTTTTGCTGTGTATATTCTCAATAACAACAACAAAATAAATAAAACTTAGGGAAAAGAAAAAAAGGGCAATATGAGGGATCTTTGTGATGATGGAACTTTCAGTACCTTGATTGCAACAGTAATACAGAAACCTACATACTTAATAAAATAGTATAGAATAAAAATGAGTACAAGTAAAACTAGGGACATATGAATAAGATCTGTGGATTGTATCAATGTTAATATCCTGGTCATGACATTGTACTATAGCTTTGTAAAATGTTGCCACTGAGGAAAACTGTGTAAAGGGTAGTGGGATCTCTCTGTAAGGTACAGATCAATGTATACAGTATGCTACCTTTGGTGTAAAAAAAACTGTATGTTTGTATTTATAAAAATGAACCCTGAAAAGATACTTTTCAGTGTTTATCTTAGGGTGATTATCTTAGGGTGGGGAAAAATGGGGTGGGAACATTTTTCAATACATAATTTTTTCTAGTGTTTTGATTTTTGAACCATGTGATTGTATTACCTGGACAAAAAATTAGTAAAATACTAAAATTAACTTTTATACAAAAAAGACTTTAATAAACATTCTACTGCTTTGGAAAGTACTCAAATTTCAGTTATCTTTACCTCTAACCTCTGTGTCTGATCCTTGCCCAAAAGGTCACGAACCTCTTCATTATATATTTCCAAATAAGACACTCGAACCAAAAATCTATAAATAAAATATTATTTTAAAAAACATAAAAGTCAGTAAAATATCTATGAAGAACAGTTTTAAAAAGTGTTCAGAAAATTTACACCTTATGCATTTTCCATGCTTGTGCTTCTCAATATTAGAAAGAAAAACTTTCTTTTTTTTTTTTACCTTGTATCACCCTCTGCTTTTGCAATATGACCAAATATGTGAGCAAATGAATTTGGTATGATTCCTCTAAGTTCAGGAACAGCGCGAACACCTTCCATGGTAAAAGTTTTGCCTGTTCCGGTTTGTCCATATGCAAAAATGGTTCCTGAAAATGAAGAGAATAAGTCATTTTTTAGAGTAAAGCTACAAATCAATGGCTTTTAAAATTCTTTTGACACTGTGCTGTAATTTCTGTCCTGAATTTAAAATTCATTGTAGTACAAATTTCTTCTTTATCATCAACAATTATAATACTATGTACCATGGTCAATGAGATATTCCTAATTATTAATAAAAAGTATCCCAAACCCTAAATTCAAAATCTTACACTACAGAAAATTACATCAAATTTCTTGTAATGTGTATATTATTTATTTAATGTAGATGTTAAACTGGAGAAAGTAATGTAAGTACAGTAAAAGAAAGAATACAGGCTCCAGAGTCAGAAAGACCTCAGTCTAAATCCACATTTGCCACATTTTAGCCACTTGACCTTGAGAAATTATCTATCCAGAGATTGTTTCCTCAATCGTAAAATGAAGATAAAAATAACTACTCTACACTGACATTAAAAACCAAATGAGACAATTTACGTAAAGTGACCAACACAATGTCTGATTGAGAGCACCAACAAATGGTAGCTTTTTTCTTTTTAATCCTAAAATAAACTCGTTGTTTAAAAAAATAACAGCAGTAAGGACGGGCTGAAGCATAGCATCAGTTGTGAGGATGCGCAGGATCGAGCAGCGTTTCGCTCTGTTGCACATAGGTCACTATGAGTCGGAACCACCTGGACAGCATCTAACAACAACAGAAGGCATGGAGGGATTAACAAAACATGTGACAGTACAATTAGAGCAGGTAAGCAGAGCTACAATTTAAACTTTCTAAATACCTAAATTAATTCATTAAACAAATATTTACCACACATCTGTGTGTGGCACTATGCTATGTACCAGGGACACAGTGACAAACAGAACAAACCAATCCTCAATCTTATGGTATGTGTAATGTTGGGGAGGCGATGTTGGTCTAAGAACTGTTTAAGTATGATCAGTGTTCAGAATGAGAGACACAGAGTGCTAGATGAGAGCAAGGGACATAATCTAGGCAGGGAATTGTCGCAGGAGGAACAGGGAGGTGGTCAAGGAAGGCTTTCCAGTAGACGTGAGGATCAAGATAAGACCTGAAAGAAGAATAAGAATTAGGTAGGCAAAGAGTAGGTGGCAAGAGGCAAGAAAGAGCATGGAGATTTTAAGGAATGGAAATGAAATGGAAGAAACAGAGATGGAAAAGGAAAGTGGCTGCAGATAGAGAAAAATCAGCAGGTGCCTAATCACACAGGGCCATGTTAAAGTTTTTAGATCTTATCCTAAAAGTATAAAGTCAAGCCACAGAGTGATTTTCAGTCAGAGGAGTGACATGGCGGGTACTGTGGGAAAGAGGAAGGTGGAAGGATTTGAGGGATAGTTAACAGTTAAAATCAACAGGACCTGGGCACTGACTAGTCATAGCAGGCACCAGGAAAAAGGAAGAATCAAGGATGACTTCAAACTTCTGGCTTGAATAAGGGGGTGTATGGCAATAACATATACTAAGATGGTGAACACCACTAGAGAAGAACAAATTTGAAGGGGAAGATCATGAATTCAGTTTGGTGCCTACTGAGCTTGAAGTGCCTATGACATCTCAAATGGATGTGTCAAGCAGGGAGCTAGATATATGAGATTCATTTGTCAACCAAAGCCATGGAAATGGATGAGATCTCCTCAGGAGACACTGTAGAATGAGAAGTTAGCCTAGAAAGTAATAGCGTAAATGTAAAAGTCTCTTCAACTACTACTATTCTATTCAGTTGTTCTCAAGTGTCACCATCATTCTTAGACTTTCTGTGAAAATAGAATAAATTAATCACATTAGAAGCCATTTTTTACATACGGGAATGAAACAGTCTCAACTTTTTCAACTGGCTAAATATTTCAAACTGCTCTTACGAATGTAACTTACTACATTCAAAGGAGCTGAAAATAACATGACCTGATATTTTAGAACAAACACACTGTATTATTAAGGAAATAATGAACTTTATAAGGACAACAGCTACCATTTTGTGACTGTTTGCTGTGTGATAGAAAATATACTTTATATACATTCTTATTTCGTTTTCACCACAATCCTAAGACATAGGCACTATTTTTACTCTCATACTTTAGATGGGGAAATGGAGGTTTAGCAAGGTTAAGTAACTTGCTGAATGTCACAAGTGGTGGAGGCAAGATCTGAACACAGTCCAACTAATTCAAAGGTCCATATTTTTTACCATTATGAAATGACCAAAAAAGAATTTTAAACTCACAATTAATTTCTAATATAACTTTTATGAACACATTAAATACACGAAAAGATCACTAATTCCAGAACTGAGAAATAAAGACCAGAGATCCTCAAGAATAAGAGACTTTCATCTTATTTTCAGAGATGAGATTCAGAATTTCTAGCTTTTAAATGTCTAGCATAACAACTCTTAACACTATAGTTTAATTCAACATCAACTTCTCTTAAAACTTTACTTTTTAAAAACTAAAAATGACCTGAGATTTATTCAGCCTCCTCATTTCCTATGCATATATTAAAAACAGTAGGATTATGTACCTGCCATTCAGAATCCAAAAAGTTAGAGTTAAACTACACTTGAATAATAGAAAGTAAATGCATTACATATTACAGATTTCTAATTTTTGTCTTTTTTCAAAATGTCTCCCTATTTGTTGCTATCAACAATTCTCACAGTCAGTATAATATATTGGAAAATAGGTGAAAATTCCTTTGACATCTGTCTTAGTCATCTAGTGCTACTCTAACAGGAATACCACAAGTGGATGGCTTTAACAAAGACAAATTTATTCTCTCACAGTCCAATAGGCTACAAGTCCAAATTCGGGGCGTCAGCTCCAAGGGAAGGCTTCAAGTCCAAATTCAGGGCATCAGCTCCAGGGGAAGGCTTTCTCTGCTGGCTCTGGAGGAAGGTCCATGTTATCAATCTTCCCTTGGTCTGGGAGCTTCTCTGCGCAGGAACCTCAGGTCCAAAGGACACACTCTGCTCCTGGCACTGTTTTCTTGGTGGTATGAGGTTCCAACTCTCCACTTGCTTCCCTTTTCTTTTATCTCTTACAAGAGATAAAAGGTGGTGCAGGCCACACCCCAGGGAAACTCCCTTTACATTGGATCAGGGATGTGACCTGAGTTAGGGTGGTGTTACAATCCCACCCTAATCCTCTTTAATGTAAAATTACAACCACAAAATGGAGGACAACCACACAACACTGGGAATCATGGCCTAGCCAAATTGATACACATATTTTTTTGGGGGATACAATTCAATCCATGACAACATTCAAATACTACTCTGCATAATTTAAAAAAAAAAAACAACACAATTTTATTAATTCAAAACTAAACTAGCAATACTTCCACTTCCAACCAATATGGAGTAACAGAGACCAGATTTACACTCCTAGCTGAAACAAACAACAACAACACCAAAAAAAAAAAAAAAAATACAAAATACATGAAACAACAGTTTTCAAGATACTGAATATCAGTCAACAAAGGACTGTGATTCCTGGAGGACAGGAAACAGGCGAGATGGGTCCTATGATTGCCCAGTTTACTGTTCTGAGAGAGAATCCAAGACATGAAGCAGGAGGGGAAACCTAGGCAGAGGTCAGTGGACTTCCTGAGTTGAAGAAAGAGAGCTGAGAGTCCAAGGAAACCAAAGTGGCTACAGGTTAGAGGACACAATACCATAGAGAAGAGAGTTGCACAGAGAGAGCACCAGAGAGCTGCAGAGGGTCTTCCTCAAGTATTTAGGTAAGTACCGATCTGCCCATGAGTGTGAGGAAACTATCCAAAGCTGAGAAAAAACTATTCAAAAGCATTAGAAGGTACAGAGATTGGCATTCACACAGGCCAGGAACAGTACCTGTTCCCACGAGCCAGCCTAGAAAACATCATAATCCATGGGACATTAGGCACAGTATACTAAAGGGTGTTGCCTCAGTAGTGGGAAACAACTAACCCTAGATTGAGCACTTTTCTGATCCTAACAAATCTTAAAAGAAGACCTGAAAGGATCGAACAGTTATCAAGTAACTGCATCTCAGAACACAGATCAAGAATGTTTACAGGAATAAATAACTATCCAGGACCCAAGGTAAAATTCTCTATGTCTGGCATCCAATCAAATATTGCCAAGCATAGAAAAATGCAAAAATACATGACCCATAATGAGGAAATCAATCAAAACCAACTGAGAACTGATATAGATCTTAGAATTAGCAGACAAGGACATTAAAACAATTATAACTATATTGCATATGTTCAAAAGTTAAGCAGAAATATGGAAGATATAATAAAGACCCAAATCAAACTTCCAGAGATAAAAACTGTAATGTGTGAAATGAAAATACACAGGGTGGGGTTAATGGCAGATTAGATACTGCAGAAGAAAAGATTTGTAAACTTGAAAACATACCAATAGAAACCCTCCAAAATAAAACAGAGAGAAAACTGGGGAAAAAGAAAAAAGAACAAAACATCAATAGGGACAATTTCAAGAGGCCTAATACATGTGTAAATGGAGTCCTCAAAAGGCAGAAGGAGGGACAGAAAAAATATTTGAAGAAATAATGGCTCAAAAATTTTCCAGATTTGATGAAAACTACAAACCCACAAATCCAAGAATCTTGATAAACTCCAAGCACAAGAAGCATGAAGAAAAATACAACAAGGCATATCATAATCAAATTGCTCAAAATCAATGATAAAGAAAAAAATCTTAAAAGCAACCAGAGAGAAATATGTTACATAGAGGAATAAAGATAAGGATGATAGCAGATTTCTCATCAGAAACAATGCAAGAGAGAAGACAGTGCAGCAGCATCTTTAAAGCACTACTGAAAAAAGAAACTGTCAACCTCAAATCCTATACACAGTAAAAATAACTTTCAAAAACAACGGTGACATAAATAACCTTTTCAGACATACAAAAGCTGAAAGAATTCATCACCAGCACACCTACACTACAAAAAATGCTAAAGGAAGTTT